CCCTCCCCCCTCCCCCCTCGGGAAAGCTAAATCGACGAGGTAGACGGAACAGTTTGTGGTCGGATCGGCTGATCTATGGTGCTAAATAGGGAAATATATCGCACCACTAATCCTTTGAGATCGTATATTCATTTTATTTCATATTGTTCTTCCTCTCTTAACCTTCTCTCTCGGCTTCCTCTCTTCATCATCTGCCCTCTTTGCCTCCTTTTGTTTTCGCTTCCTCGCCATTCACCTCTTCTTTCTTGCCTTCTGCCTCTGTCTATCACTGCTTGCCTCCCGCACTCCTTCTTCTCCTCGTCCTCCTCCCGCTCTCCCCTCCTGCTTCTCCTCCTCCTCCTCTACAAACCACCTCCTCCTCCTCCTCCTCTCCTCCGTTTCCTTCTCTTCCTCCTCCTCCTCCTCCTCCTCTCCTCCGTTTCCTTCTCTTCCTCCTCCTCCTCCTCCTCCTTCTCTGTCATTCCCTCCCCTTTGCCGACCTTTCTTCTTCTTCTTCTTCGATCTGTTCCCTCCCCTCTCCCTCCCCTCCTCCTCCTCCTCCTCCTCCTCCTCCTCCTCCTGCTCCTCCTTTTTCTTCTTCCTCTTCTTCTTCTTCTTCCTCTCTTCCCATCCTCTCTCCCTCCTCATCCTCTCCCTTCTTCTTCTTCTTCTTCTTCTTCTTCTTCTTCTTCTTCTTCTTCTTCTTCTTCCTCCCTCCCCTCTCACGAACGTCCTCCTCCTGCTGCTGCTCCTCCTGCTCCTCCTTCTCCTCCTCCTCCTTCCTGTTCTTCTGTTGAGGCGATATTTGTTGTTTCTGGCCTCTTTCCGCAGGGCCCCTTTGATAGCGTTTTGCATTCCGCTCAGCGCCATAGCTGATCGGGATCTTGATTCCGATCTGTGCATCTCGACCTCCACCTCCTCCTCCGCCTCCTCATCCTCCTCTTTCTCCTTCTCCTCTCCTTCAGTTTCATCCCACCGTTCATCCATCATCATCAATCATCCTGAATGTATTTATGTGAACGTCAGCTTTCCTAGGCCTGTCCCATAACCGTTCCACCTGCTACCTTCGTCTACTCCAGGTTTTACTTATTAGTAATTCCCCTTTTTTCTTTCTTATGCCCCTCCTACGCCTGCCCTAATTTTACTTTTGCCCTCTCTGTTTGCATGGGCATACAGGGGTAGTATGACAAGCTCCGTTCTGAAAACCCGCCAGCCTTCGGATTTGGGCTCCTCTGGCCATGCTCAGCAAACCTCCACCTCTCCCCCC